TCCTGGGCCTGGAACCAGGGCTTCAGGGCTACGGGCCTGGTGTCCCGTGGACCAGATGTTATTTCTGGCCCCGTGTCCATTCAAGTGTCAGCGCCTTCATTCGTTCGTTCGTTCATTCATTCATTCATTCAACTATACCTGCACCTTCCTGTGCGCCTTCCTTACATGTCCCTCCTCCGCAAGCCAGGCCTGAACGTCAGAAGGCCTTTCTGACACTGGGATCCCCATGCAACCGTCTGTAGCTTAAAATCTTGCAACAGTTTCCCCTGGGATGAGATCTGCAGTCCCTGTCTTGGCCTATGAAGCCAAACTGGGGTAGTCCTGCCCTCGGATCTGGTCTTCAGGCCTCTGCACCTCTGTCCACCCTCATCCTTCTTTAGGTAGTACCCTTGGAGCTTGCTGTCCCTCCTCTGGCCAATTTGGGCTGCTTGCTGTTCTGGAGACTCTTGAGGTCTTAAGGGGCCAACTCATCTACAACAAGCCTCTCCAAGGACTCCCTCTGGACTTTTCTGTCCTGCCACGGTTCCCTCTCACTGATACCATGTGTGTCTCACTCCCTGTGCCCTTGTCCCTCTGCCTATCCTGTCTCTTGATGTAGGCCTCAGCTTTTTTTTTGTTTGTGTTTCTGTTTTTGTCTTTTGAGACAAGGTCTTGCTCTGTAGCCCAGGCTGGCCTCAAACTTGAGCATTCCTCCTGCCTCGGCCTTCAAAGTGCTGGGATTTGGGGCATGGACCACCACCCCTGGCCAAGGCCTCAGCTCTTGGCATGTTGCCTAGAGCAAGGGGACCAGTTAAACCCAATTTGTGAAAGAATGATTAAAAACACACAGCCAATCATTGTCATTAAACAATTGTATTAAACAATTGTCATTTGCAAGTACCTTCCATACTCCAGGTGGTATGAAAGAGAGGGGTCTGAACATCCCCAAGTTCCTTGCTCATGTTCATATACAGCCTGTCTCATCTCCTTCAGCAGCCATTGAAGTTAGCACCTGGGTGTTGTTAATGTGCCTTGAGTCTTCCCCAGAGACCCTAACAACCATATTTGTGGTGCCCCAGGATTTTTTGAGGCCAAACTACTGACACAATTTGTTTAGCATCAAAACCTGTCCGCCCAACCTTATGCTGGTTACTATGTGATAACATTTCCAAAATGGCTTTTGGGGTTAAATCCTTCAAAGTGTTATCTCAATTCAGTTTCACAATAATACAATCATATTGACGCCTGATCATCCTATTTCAGTTTTCTTTAGCAGTTATTGCAACATGTATTCCCATCAACAAAGCATGAGCGTTCCAGATGCTTCATTACATAGCTGACATGTTCATGAACAATCAAATGTGTTAATAAATTTTGTTATGTAGCTGGGCATGGTGGCACATACTTGTAATCCCTGCACTTGGGAGGCTGAGGCTGGAGATTGCCAGAGATTCCAAATCAGCCTGGATTACATAGTTTGAGACTAATCTGAACCACATAGTGAGACTGTCTTGCAAAACACCTCCTTCCCTGCAAAAGGAAGAATGTACAACAGTAAAAAAGCACAAACCACCAAAAACATGCAGCAACAGAAATGAATCTCTTGGACATAACACTGAGCACAAACATATATTAGAAATTCTCTTTTCTTCAAAGTTAAGGAAAATTGGGTTGGGGTTTTAGCTGGGTGACAGAGCACATACGGCAGGGGGAAAACAGGAAGAATATGCAACTGGGAATCAGAACAGTAGTTACCTCTGGAGTGAGGATATTAACCAGAAGAGACCAAGAAAAACTTCTGGGTACCACACAGATTCAGGTCTTGGTCTGAGAGGTGGCTGCAGGGCTACTACCCTACATAATCCTATACATAAAACTTCCTGAACTATATCCTCAGGATGGGTGCACCTTGCCCAATATCTCACACAGACACCCCTAACATCAGTATGGTTTAACAATCTACTTTACCATGGTACAGAAACATACACAACCATTCTGTTCTTACATTTAGTACAGTATTTAATAAATTATAAGATAATCAATAAATTACAACATTTTATGATCAAATATTCTTCGTGTGAGACAATTTTGCACAACTGTAAGCTAATGTAAGTGTTCTGAGTGTGTTCAAGGTAGGCAACGCTTAGTTATAACGTTTGGTAGACTAGGTGTATTAAATGCAGTTTTGACTTACAATATTTTAAGATTACAATATGCTTATAACCCTATTGGAAGTTGGAGAGCATCTATAAATCAGGTTTTTTTTTAAAGTACTTTGTTTTTTCTTTTGTTGTTGTTTGGCTTTTCAGACAGTTTTGTTATGTATTCTCGACTGGCCTTGAACTCACTATATAGCTCAGGTTGTCCTCAAATTCACATCGATCTTCCTGCCTCAGTCTCTGGAATGCTGGGATGTGCGTGCCACACATCTGACTTGTTTTTCTTTCTTTTTGTGTGTGTATGTCTTTTTGTGACAAGGTTTCACTGTGCAGTTCAGGGCAATCTTGAACTCATAGCTGTCCTCCTGCCTGAGCTTCCCAAATGCCGGGATTACAGGTGTGTACCACATGCCCAGAGGTGGTTGATCAGGGAAGGTAAGGGTGTGGTTGAAGGCAGAACTGCTGAGCCTGTGTTGCTGAGCACTCTGGGCAAACCAAAGAAGAGCACGTTGGGAGGCTGCACGTGGGAATACTAGAAGACAAGCCTCATGTGAGCTGTGAGGTGATGCCAGGCAGTGTAAACAGGTCTAGGTTGTCAAATACAGAGTGACTGTAGCCCAGCCGGTGCCAGGCAACCCAAGTGTGGGAACACCCTGGAGGCTTGGCTCCTGACTCCCCGCCCCCTCAGCATGGGAAATCTGTTTGCACATGCCTGCCAGGCCAGCCACAGTCAGCCCCAGAGTGCCTGCTTCCCAAACCTTGGTTGCTGATCATAGGTGCTCACACTGCAGTACTTGGGTTCCCAGGTGGGGAGATTGTGAACTCCTGGACTGTTCTAACTCAGGCTCAACCCCCTGTTCCACTGGAGAGTGAGCCCAGTCAACATCTCTTTAGATTAAGGCTGTGATCAGCTAAAAATCCCAGGGAAAAACAATAGCCTTTAAGCTTAATATGTGATAGAAGAGTGATATCAGCTGACATTTCTGAATTCTGTGCTAAGCTCAGGATTGCCAGGAACAGAGACTACTAATTTAAAGACTCTTTAAGAAATGGGAATGTGTGACCAGCTTGAGGATGTTTGGTGGGGGCAGAGCGCCACAAGCAGCTACTCCCTCAGTATGGGCAAAGGCACAAGGGGGCTTTGTTCTGTGTTCGACCATCATATCCCCAGCTTTAATGTAAATCTCCTCATTTTGGGTTTTCTGAAGACAGGCACAGCTGCAAAGCAGAGGAGGAGCTTGGAAAGAGAAGGGTCTGGCATCTCCCTCCTGGTCAGGGATCAACATTTTTCTCTAAGCACCCGGCTCTGCACTTTCATGGGAGAGGAAGATTCAACCAATCCGAGCACCGCATTCCTGGCCATATGATTGGTTAAGGCATAGGCACATTACGCAATCAGAGCCAATGAGAATCCTAAGGAGTTGCTAGGGTGAATAGAAGTGGGCCTGGAGCCATGAGGCCATCTTGCCACATAAATTGACCTGCTTTAGGGGGAAGTTCTTCCTGGAGAGCAGAGCCAGAGGTGCTGGAAGGGAGATTTCTGATCTGTTGAGTGCCTGCATCCAATCAGGCTCAAACTTGGATTACTAGGAACTTTCTGAGTTCTGAAACCAGTTAATTATTTTCATGTATTTATTTAGTCAGTTGGGATTATAACTTGCAACCAAGAGTGGTGGATGTGTCAGCGGGTGAGGAACCGACAACTTTGTCTAACCCACCAGTTCATTTCTGCTCACAAGTGAACCTCCTAGCAGTCCCTGAAACCCAGGTGGGCCCTTCTCCACAGTGTCTGCAAATCCACTGACCTTCTTGGGGATGCCAGGCCCCGGTTTAGAGTGACCTTTAAGGGTCTTTATCTCATCTCCCGAGGAATGCTGACTTCCCTGGCAACAGCCCCCAGGCGGCTTGTAGGAGCCACATAGGAATCCTCTGGTGAATCAGGCTGGCAGCCTCAGTATTCCCTGTGAGGCTATGTGGCTGCCCAGGGTCAAGCACCAGTGGACCTGGGTGAACTGGCATGGTCCTGCCCTCCAGGAACTCCAAAGAAGAGATCACACCAGCTGTGGGCAAGTTGGATACCAACACCCAAAACAGCATTGGACAGAAGTCAAACAGACACTGGCAACCTACAGAAAATTAGCAAAAATTTTAATTCCTCCACACAAAGGAGTTTCCAGCTCATTGAACAATTAGGATAATTTGGAAAACTTGAGCTCACATCTGTGCAGAGCAACAGCAAGTGGCTGCCTTCTGCTTTATTTAGGTATCAGCCTGACCACTGTGATTGCTCTCAAAAACCCCACCTTGAAGTTCAGAGCTAACTCAGGCTGAATAGTATGGTCCCAGATGAGGGAAGGTCCTGGTGAAAGGAACTAGAAGTAGGGAAGGAAGAAGGAATTAAAGAAAGGCATAGATTAGCAGTCTCCCAGGACTAGCAGCCCAAGCATTCCCCAGAACCCAGCCCATGTTCTGGAAAGCGGGATTTGGTAAGTAAATAGACGGACAGATGAATGAATGGGAGCAAAGGTGACAGCTACAGAAGCCTCTTCCAGGTGACAGCGATAGGAATCCAGGGAGGCTGGGGGCATGAAGTCCAGGCTGGGGCGCATTCTTTTGCTGGTACTAGGGACACAAAGGAGATTCCACACCCAAGGCCAGGACTTCCGGCCTCCCACCTCCTCCCTTCCTCCTGCTTGGCTCTGAGGGCCTCCCCACCTTCAATCTTTCACCATAAATTGTATTTCCCATGTCAATCCATTGGTTTGAAAAGGGAAACTTCTATTCCTAGCCTAAATGGAAAAACCAGCACCGCAAGAAGGAAAGTATTAAGATGTTTACGTCTGAAGACAGCACAGTGTGAGGCAGAGGCTGTGCCTGCCTCACTATGAGCCCAGGGCTCCATAGTTCTCTGTTTAAAAAAGGAAATTCCTAATGATCCTGCGTATGTTCGCTACCTGGGTAATCACACCCAGAGACAGGAAGTAGAATGGCGCCTGCTAGAGCTGAAGAAGGGGAGAGTGGAGACTCAGTTTTTGGGGACAGAATTTCACTTGTGGATGCCCTGAGGTAATGCTCATTAATGCTGCTGAACTATGCATTTACAAATGAGAGGAGGGGGTCTGGGATTTAGCTCAGTGGCATAAGAGCTTGGCACAAGGTCACGAGTTCGAACCCTGATACCATAAAAAAAAAAAAAAGGAAGAGAGGAGGGCTTGGAATTTAGCTCAGTGGTTCAAGTGCTTGCCTGGTAAGCACGAAGTCAGTGCCTGTTACCCTCCCCCCCAAAAAATGAGGAGCTAGGCATGGTGGTGCACACACTTGTAATGTAATCCCTGCACTCTGAGAGACTGAGGCAGGAGAATGGAGCCCAACTGGGTAATTTGGTGACTTAATGAGGCCCTGTCTCAAAATAAACATAGGGCTTGGATGTAAAGGTTCTGGGTTCAAGCCCCAGTACCTGAAAAATGATTGGGGTTGGAGATGTAGTTTATTAATAGAGGACTTAACTAGCATGAACAAGGCCCATAGTTCACTGCAAAAGAGAAAAAGAAATTAGCAAATTTTACGTGTGTTTTCTCTTAACTGTATTTATTTATTTTGGCTTTATTTTACTGTTTTTTACACAAGGTCTCATTATATGGTTAGCCTCAAACACTTGGAGATCCTCCTACCTCAGCCTCCAGAATGCTGGGATTATGGGAGTATACCACCAAACCCAGTTTATTTTGGCTTTTTCAAAACAGGATCTTGATATAAAGCCCAGGATGACCTAAACTCAGAGGATCCTCCTATGTCAGCCTCATTAGTGCTGGGATTGCACATTTGTGCCAGTTTATGACAATTTTTAAAACCAGGTAAATAAGCAGAGAGAGGTTAAACACTTCTCAGCTACAACTGAGCCCTTCCTCTTGATGAAGTTGAGCATCTGATGAGGATTGGCAGAGGAGCCACGGCTGGCTCATTGTGTGATAGATTATCTCAGATGGATGCACAAGATTGAGCCAGATGTCAGGGAGAGATCAGCAATGAACAGGGATATGGGGAGGCAGAGGAGGGTGCCCTGCAGGAGGTGGCCCTGGGTGCCCGCAGAGCTGTCCCCCGTGCTGAAGAAAGTTCCCTGGATGTGGGAGGGTGGAAGGTCCCAGCCTCCTGCTCCTAGTTTGCTATGACCTTGGGGGTGCACTCAGCCCTGGGCTTCTCTGCCCCAGGGATGAAGAGGCTGATAGAAGTGACCGTAACAAGCTCTATGTAGGCCCCCTTCAAAGGAGAAGGTGACTGCGTTTTCAGGGTCGCTTCCTAGGTTCCTTCTGATCAGTTTTTGGTGGGGAAGATGCATGAGTGCAGTCCCAGGATCTGAGGACGTAGGCTCCTGCTCCCTGCCATCACACCATTCCTGATGCCGGGAACAGAGAGACCTGGGGATTGTGTCACTGTGCCTGGCACAGTCAGTGCTTAGGAACTATGATGAATTCCAGATGCTCACCACTCACTGATGTGCTGGAGTGAGGAAGCCCACCAGTCACCACAAGCCAGCTAGGGAAATGCGGCCAAGGCGGCACCCCCCAGCAGCGGGGGCCCCTGCTCCAACATCACCTCCAACACCTGGAGGTGATGGTGTCAGGAGGTGAGACTTCTGCGGGGTGTTGGTTCCTTTGTGAAAGAGGCCTAAGGAAGGGTCCTGGTCCTCCCGCCTGCCATGTGGGGACACAGTGAAAGGACAGGTCTGAGAACCAGGAAGCAGCCTGCACCAGATACCGAGGTGGCTGGTACCTTGATCTCAGGCTTCTCAATCTCGATAATGTGAGCAGTGAGTTCTTTGATGTTTACAAGCCACTCAGTTTGTTGCACTTTGTGATAGCTGCCTGGAAAGATTAAGGTAGACACAACCCCTCCCCGCCCCTGTATTTTGTTTGTAATACTGGGGATTGAACCAGGCCCTTTGCACTGAATGACACCCGCAGTCTTTAAAGATCGTTTTTCTTACATTTTGAGACAGGGTCTCAGTCAGTCACTAAGTTTCCCAGGCTGAGCTCACACTTGTGATCTTTCTGCCTCAGCCTCCCAGAGTGCTGGGATCCTAGCTGTGCTCCACCATGCTTAGCTTCCACCCCCATCTTCAGCCCCCATTTTTGCAGCACTGCTCTTTTTTTTTTTTTTTTTTTTTTTGTTACTAGGGATCGAGTCACTAAACTGCTGAGTTAAATCCCTGGCCCGCTGCTGCTCTTTTTGTTGAGACAGGGTCCTGCTGCATAGTTCAGCCTGGCCTTGAACCCACTATGCACACCCCATCCCCTACCCTTCTCAGTGTCTTTGCTTCTCCTCTTTCACCTTTTCCTTTTTTGTTTTCTTGGAGGTTTTTTGAGACAGGCTCTTGCTATGCATTTCAGTCTGATCTGGAACTTACTATGCAGCTGAGGCTGGCCTTGAACTCATAGTAGTCCTCCTGCCTCAGCTTCCCAAGTGCTGGGATTACAGGTGTGCACCACAATGACTACTTTTTTTTTCTTTTTTTCTTTTTCCCTAGGTAGGTCTCACTACCTAATTTGGGTTGGCCTTGAACTCATGGTGATCTTTCTGCCTCAACCTTTCTAAATGCTGGGATTATTGGCATAAACTTCCACACCCTGCTCTTCCTCCTCTTATTTATTTATTTATTTATTTATTTTTCTTTTTTCTTTTTCTTTTTCTTTTTCTTTTTCTTTTTCTTTTTCTTTTCTTTTTTTTTTTTTTTTTTTTTTTTTTTTTTTGTGCCGAGGATGGAACTCAGGACCTCGAGATTTCCAGGCAGTTGTTTACACTGAGCTAAATCCCCAGCCCCCTTCCTCCTTTTAAATGATGGAATTCCTCATGACTTCACTGGGAGCCTTATTTCCCACACACTCCTTCCCAAGAACCCCTCCTCTCCCCACCCACACCCCTGTCCTAAATCTGATGGAAGACACCCAAAGGTGAACCCTGGATCTTCCCACCCTGGCCCTGCCTGCTGCTCCTTCGTTCAGGAAATGCCACCACCATTCCCTGGCTCAGACCCCTGTCTGCCCGACCCACAAAGCTGCATGCATTTCCTCTTGTTTCCTTCTCTGGCCTCTGTTCTGCGTACATCGCAGAACCCCAACCCCTACCCTCCATGTTTCTGGTCGGCTTGCTTCTCTCTCATGGCCGTCCTAGCCCAGCCACCTGCTGCCTGGATGGCTGCACAGTCTCTGGAAGACCCCTCGCCTCCTCCGGCTAAAATGTCCTCATCCCTGTGCAGTTATAGGGGTCACTGTTGGAAGTGGATCTCCTCCAATCGGCCCCTTCCGGAAACCACTGAAAGCTGCCCTGCGATTGTGTCTCACCTCACCGGAGCCTCAGTCTCTCCTTCTCCCGCTGCCTCCATCCTCCTGGCTCAGCCCACCGCGTGCCAGACCTTTCGCTGCGTGGGTTTGCACCTGCCCGACCCTTCCCCTGCTGTCTCAGAGACGGCTTCTCCAGCGTCCGTGTCCCCTCCTGCGGCCTCGCCCGGCCGCACTGTGTCTGTCTGACTTCTCATCAGTTTCTCCTGGCATCCTGGTTTTTTTAATTATAAAAATATTCAGATATACACATGAGCAGAGAGATGATAGTACCCTGGCCCCTCACAGACTCATCATAGGTATTTCATAATTAGAATTTTTCATCTCGGTTTTACTGAGCCAGGATTTTTTTTCTTGGCTGATATATTTTAAGGCAAATTCCAAACATGATGTCATTTCATTTTCACAGACTCAAGCATACATTTCCAAAGAGGATCCGTGTTTTCTTACATAACCACAACACCAGTAAGACACCTAGCAAAATGAACGATAATTGTCAGTATCATTTCATAGTCAGTTGAAGTCATATTTCCCCAGTGTCTCACATGTGTCTTAAACCGTCAGCATAAGTCACAATCCAAGCCCAACACATACACTGCATCTGGTTCTTGGATCCTTTGGTCTTTTCCAACCTGGAAGAGCCCCTTCCCTACCGTCTGTACTATGGACTCTGAGTCAGTGCCCTCTACAGTTGCTGCACGCTCTGGATTGGTCTGCACCTTCTTGGAGTCATGTAAGGCCTGCTCTCTTCTCCATGCTCCTTGTAGACAGAATGAGCTCCAGAAGCTGATGAGATTACACAGGTGATGCTGGAACTGCACCCTAGGACCTTCTCATTGAGCTATACCCCCAACCTTTCTTTTTACAAAAAGTTTTATTTTGAGGCAATCTCACTAAGCCTCTGAATTGCCCTGACTGGGCTGCAACTTGTGATCCTCCTGTCTCAGCCTGCCGAACTGGGGGAATATGCACCACCATGCCTGATGATCATCGTTTCTGGAATCAGTTGCTTGGTTTGCGATTGCAGAATGCTGTACATTCTCTAGCCATTCACTGAGGAGGACACGGGGTGGGAAGGGCTGCATAGTCTCTGGAGAGCTTTGAAACAACCATAAAACAGATGAAAAGTCCTCTGTGCTTTATCATCCCATGCCCTTGCAATCCTAGACGGTGTCAGCAGTGAAACACTCCTCCGAGCTGGAGCAGGGGACCCTGCCTTCCCTCCCCGACCTGGGCACACCCTGTCTACTCACCAGCATCTTCCGGAAGGAAAGTTTCCAGGGCCATTTAGTTGCCCGAAAAGACAACTCACTTGATGGAATAAATACTTCATTCTTTTAATTTAACTGCATATTTTTACTCTTCATAACATTTGAAACACTTTGCATTTGGACATTTGTTTACATGTTTGGGGCTCCTCTCCTGTCAAAAGGAAGCTGCCGGAGGTGCACGGGAGCCGCTCACATTGCTCACAGGATGAAGGTGTGTGAGGGATTCGGGGAGGGTGGGTGTGTGGGTTCCTGGTGGGTGGGTGGCTTCCCAGGTGGTGCCGGGCCCAGGGAAGATTGTGCGAGCACACGCAGAAGGGACATGTGTCCCTTCTTCTGTCTTGGGGTCTGGGCCTTGGCTGAGGTGGAGGGGAGCGCCGAGGCTGCAGGAGCCCCAGAGGCCTCCTTCCCTGGTCACAGGGAGGGGTCACGGCTCACCTGAGCCCCTGGCTGGGTGTGAGGGAAGCACACAGCACCTGCACACCGGGATCAGGCCACATTCTCCGCCAGCCCTCTCCTCCTCCCTCTCTTCCCTTCCTCCCTCCTTCTCTCCCTAATTGCTCTGTTTTCCTTCCACTTCACAAGTGGGTTGGCTAGGAACACCGAAGTCTGTTTTATATACATATAGATAGTTAGCAAACACAAAATGTGTGGTGAGCTGTGTTCATCTTTATGTTATTAACACACAAAAGCAAGAGAGCTCCAAGTTAGAGTGGCTGCCATGCAGCCCAGCGCGCAGGCAGCCATATGGTGTGAAGCGAAGCAGAGACAACAAGACTCAGCCGCACACCGCCTTCCCTGGAGGGGCTCCACACAGTTGGGGCCACCGACTCCTCCGCCCTCACAGGCCAGGGCCGTTCCCGTCCTAGGGAGAAAGGGATCGGGACAGGCAGAGACCTGTCCACAGATGAGAGAGGGCTCAGGTCATAAGTAAGCCAGCCAGCATATGAAGAAGATAAGATGCTTTGAGAACCCTTGGGAGACTGACTGGCTGATGTGACAGGGAGTAAATAGAGCTGGGCGTGTGGCTTCAGATAAGGTGGACCAGGAAGGGCTTTCACAAGAGCACACATTTGACCTATGACCTGCGGCAGGAGAAAAATCCAGCAAGCAGAGCAATGGGGGACAAGCAATAGTATGTGCAAAGGACCAGAGGCAGGGAGGCCTTTGGTGTGTTAATAGAACAGCATACAGGCTGGAGTAAGTCCAGGGGGCAGAAGAGATGAGATGATCTGGGGGAGGAGGCAGGCAGGGTCTCATGGGCTGTAGAGGAGCCTGGAATTTATTCTGCTGCCACCAGATGTCCTTGGAGGGCTTTAAATTGGAGAGTGACTCAGCTGATGTACATGTTTAAGGGTCCCTTTACAGCAGGAAGCTCGGACTGTGGGACTTGGGAGATTAGAAGCTGGGAAGCCAGCAGTCCAAACAGAGTAAGATGACAACTTGGACAAAGTTGGTGTATACGGGGTGGATGCAAGATGTCTGCAGTAGAAGGGAGGACCACGCACCATTGTCATACTTAGGTCCCTCAAAAGGGTCTGGGTTGGACCCTCTTTCAGGGCTATGTGCTACCCATGGCCAGGTGAGGCTAAAGCAAGCAGCCACCACAGATAAAGCTGGGAGACCGCACCTCCCCTAGCCTGCCTGCACTCCCCAGCTGTGCTTCTTGGCGGCCAGGTGACTTTGGAAAGCCTCGCCTCCTCCTTTCTACTGCTATCATGTCTCTGGACTTGTATATCTCCCATCTTTATCTGTCGTAATCAGATTGAGGCCACCTCTTCTGAATGTCATGGCAGTATCTCTGTACCTCCCTGAGATGCTGACCTGGTGTCCTCTTGCCCTCTGTCTGGGTGATCTGGCCTGTGGCGTCTGATCACAGCAGATACAGAGGCTTCCCATGGGGGAGAACCCCGGTCCTGCTCATCTCGGCATTCTTCAGAGATTTCATCAGAATAGCTGAATCTTAGCTCAGATTGGCCTGAGGAGAAAAGAGACTTACTGGCACACTTCACAGAGTATCTAGGGGCTTCAGGTACAGCTGGGTCCAGAGCCCCAGTCATGAGGGCTGTGTCTGTTGCTTGCTCTGCCACTAGGCAGGCTCTCTTGAGGCATGGCAAGGATGCCCAACCCGACCATCCCAGCAGAAGCCCTAGGCTTGTCCACTAGACTGCTTAGATTTGGAGTCACCCTGCTTTCCCTAGAAGTGACCCACTCTGATTGGTTGGCTTGAACCATATGCTCACTGATTGGTTGGCTTGAACCATGCGCTTACTTGGGATGTTGCTATGGTTCACGAGCAGGGAGGAGTGTTCCCCAAGGGAAACCGTGGACATTGACCAAGCAAAACCGGGTCCCTTTGGATATAGTCCCTTAGCTCTTTCCTCCCACTTAGCACCCCTGTGAAGAAGACTGAAATATTACTTTAAAGACTACATCCTCCCTCACTGGAGCACTGGGACAGTCTCATGTTGCTCTGACCCCTTCTCACGACCCTGCTCCCTGCCACTGTCCATTTCCCCTGCTGCAGCCACAAAAGGTCTTCCTAACGCACAAGTAGGCCACATCCTGCTTCAAACCCTCCATGGCTCCCTATTACTTGACGAATGAAGTCCATCCTTAGGAAAGCATGTCCATCCCTTGGTGACCTCATCATCCAGGCCTTCCAGCTGCTACCCCTTCCTTCCCCTGGGATTTATCCTCCAGCCTCTTTAAACCCCCTGGAGTTGTCCCACGCTTTTATCTAAAGTGCCCTTTAATCAGCTTGTCTGCCTGGCAAACTTCAGTCACCACCTCATCTCAAAAGGCTTCTAACTTCTCCAGCAGATCAGAGCGCCCTCTGCTGGGCCTTTAGAGCTGTTCCCCGACTTGAGCTGGGCCACTGGCCACCGTGTTCTCTAGAGGTCCTAATGGCCCATCACATGTTGTGCTTGTGCCATCCATCGCCCCATCACAGAGACTGGGACCAGCAATGGCACCTGGGCAGTACCCATGGACAGATGGGGGATGTAGGCAGTGTTGCTGCCAGGTCTTGCCTGAGTGGGCTTGACGCTCTGGGGAAGACTGTGTTGCAGGCCTCCTACCTGAACAGCTCTTGGCTTAGCTGCCCCCCAACCTTTTCCTGTCCACGTTTAGATTCAAGGAACTGGAACTAGGTGGGGTGAGTCTCAGGGTTCCAGTGGTATTGATGGTCCTCTCTCCACCCGGCCCTGGACCCTGAATCTGCTAGGCTGTTCCAGAGAGACAAATAACTCACCAAGCGGAGCACCTGAAGATCCGGTTCTCAGTGAGACATCTGTGACTACAAAGCAGAAGACCCGCGGGGAGGAAAAGGGTGCTGAGCCTGCCCTCCCCCCAGCCACTGCTCCCCTCCTTTCCTCCTCCTACGTTGCTGGAAAGCAAAGCCAGAACCTCACCCTCCCTGGGCAAGTGCCCTACCGCTGAGCCACTCCGCTGAACCTCACCCCAGCTCCTGCTGCTTCCTTCTCTAGATGAATTTCCTGGCAGCCTGAGCCACCCCAACCCCACCATCATAGCCTTGCCGTTTCCTTCTCCACTGCTTGCCCTTCTCTGGCCTCTTTATTCACCTCTCTTCCTCTCGCGGTCTTCCCCACACCTGCATGGTGTGCAGCTAAGTGGGAAGTGGTAACAGCTCTCTGTTCGCCCACTTAATTTATAGATCTAAAACATTTGCTTTTGTTGGGAAAAAGGAGGAGATGAGCCCTTCCCAATTCTTCCTCACTATCCTCTTCCTTCCAACGTTCCTAATATACAGTACCAGCCAGTTCCTTCTTTTTCTTGTGGTTCATCTACTCATCCATCTGTGCTCCCCATTTATTCATCTATCTATTTACCTTTCCCTCTTAACTATCTGCTCACTTACTCCTCTATTCACTCTTTTATCCATCTAGCTACTTACCCATCCATTCATCCACCCATTCAACCACCCATCTGTGCATCCACGCATCCGTTCATCCTTCCATTCACCCTTCTACTTATCCTTCTATCCATCTACCATCCATCCACCCATCTATCTGACTACCCTTCCACCATCTACTTATTCATCTGTTCATCTGACCACACCCACCAGTCAACTGCCCCTCTGCCTACCCAGGCATACCTGTGTGCGCTGGGCAGGACCAAGGTCTGGATACATGTGACACTGCTGTAGGTGGGTGAGGGGATAAGACAGACATATGCTTAAGTATGCCATGAAGCAGGGCCTATAAACCAAGTGTAGTCAGAAGGCATGCCAGCCTGGGTATAGATAGCCAAGTGTGGCGCATGCCCCTGATGGGTCTCTCTAACCCCAGACTAAGCTGCTCACAACCTATGGGTTGTCAGTGTGTGAATCTAGGCTGGAGCTATTGGCAGGATGACATTAGGGAATGTCTTCATTGTAAGAACTATTCATACATTACAGACTAGGCCAAAGCCCCTCTAGACCACTAAACCCAAATCTACTTCTCACCCCAGGGGCTGAACAGTGTGAAGTGATCTCTATATCTTTTACATATTTACATGGGATGGATGAATATATGTGCACACACATGGGCATGTTTGCATGTGGATTTACCAGTCTTGATGTATGAAATTTTCTAGCGAGGTTGAGGCAGGAGGATCATGAGTTTAAGCCCAGCGCGAGCAACTTAGAGAAACCATCTCGGGAAGTAAAAAGAGCTAGTAGTATAGCTCAGTGTGAAGGCCTAGGCTCAGTCCCCTGTAGAAAGGGGATAGTTAGAGAAACTGAGGTCACATTGTGTCCGCACAGCTAACTGTATTTTACATTTCCTTCTTCTCTTCCTCAGCAATGATCCCGTGCCTTCTGTATGTGAGAAAGTACCTCCTTCTTTCTCACTGCTGCTGCAGCACGCTGAGGTTGCATAGCTCATTTGAGCACCACCACTCCCCATCCATGTAGATTGTTTGTAATTCTTTGTCCCCACAGAGAGCCATCTGGGGATTGTCCCCGTGCCAGTCCAGCTTCTCACAGTACTGGGGCTCTTGGACGGTAAGTTGGGGGAACTATCACTTTTCTGAGGACCTCGCCCCACCCTCTGATCCTCAGGGAAACCTAAGGA